ACCATCACTTAAGTATGAATGTGCTGCAGTTCCAAAAAACCCTTATGCATTCCTAGGTTACATCAACAGAGGGATCACAACAAAACACAGGAAGTGACAGTAACCTTCTATACTGCACTAGTGAGGCCACATATGGAATACTGCACTCAGTTCTTATTCTCATGATACAAAAATGATGCTGAGGTTCTGAAAAGAGTGTAGAGAAGAGCAACAAAGATTTTAAGAGATCTGGAGAATCTCTTTAAAGAGAGATCCTATCTGGAACTAAGGAGAAATTTCCTGACAGTGAGAACAATTACCCAATGGAATAGCTTGCCTCCTGGAGGTTTCGGTACTCAATTGCTGGAGCTTTTCAAGAAAAGATTGGACATTTTACCAAGATGATATAAGGATTGTTCCCTAGAAGACCTCCAAAATCCCCTCCAGCCCTATAATTCTAAATGCATATTTCTAACAACATGGACAACTTTTCTGAAGAGAAGGTCACAATTATCTTTGAGTGACATATCAGGGACCATTCTATAAAACAGTGTTTCTTATTCTTAATCATTTTTAAGATGTATGGATGTAAACACCCAGAATGTTCACTGGGTATTCTGGGAGTGGAAGTCCACACATCTTAAAATAGTTAAAGTTGAGATTTTTAAAAGATCAGTGGGGCTGAAACAAAGAAGGGGTTAACATCAGAGCAAATGCTGCATGAAGTCTGATTTAAAGTTCACTAAATACCCTCCCATATACTTATCAATTTTAAACTTCAGTTAATTTCATGACAATTTTTGAAGATGTCCTTGGGGATACATCTAATGTTTTAAAAGCCTGGGCCTCAACTTGTGAAAATGTGCCAAGTATGAGAAGTGTGAGGATGCTACTTCCTCATATGTAAGTAGAGTATAGGTGTACAGTAAAGGAGGGAAGGGTTTAAGAGAAAAAGGATGGTTCAAGGAACCTGCCAAACCCTCATTTTTCTGTCTCTCCTCAATACTTCTCTTTCAGCTTTGATTTCCAGCTGAGAAATGACTGGGGAAGAGATATCACCAAGATTTAAGCACAGCCCAACAATGTTTTTATTGTTATAGGTTTCTATGGAATGCTAGCAAAAGGTTATGTTTGAAATCAGACTTCCAGCATTGACATGATCACCTGTAGATCTTTCACTGTATAGGAAATATTGGACAGCGCAAACCGTATTATATTTGGAGTATGCAAAATGTATAATTTTGAATCATTTGAGTCTCAAATATTGTGAAATAGCATTGTTCTGACCACACTGGTATGTTTGAACTCAAGGTTGTTAAGCTGTAAGTGACCTAACATGGCCTTGAAATATGGTTATGGCAGTTTCGTGTCTGAAGCACAGAATTTTTTGAAATTTCAAGCTCAAAATAGAAAAAAATGCACATTTAAAATTATGAAGAGATAAATCTCTTGATAAAAAGCAGCAATTGTCCCAAAACAATTTTCATTCAACTTCAGTATTTGATGAAAAAATTAGAGTTCTACATTTGCATAAAATATAATTTAACTGAGCCATGAAACAAACATCTTGCAATCATTAGTAATAATGTTCATTTTCACAATAACCATAAGCTCATACGCTTGGAATTGAAACAGGTAGAATGAAAGTGACAACAGGAGTTATTACACCAAAAATGGAACTATCGCTGAAAATTCCAAGATATGTAGAACTAGATGTTTTAAATGCCTGCCCTGCTGCCCATGATAATGCTGAAATTTATTTCTATGTCCTAGCTCCTTAGTTGTTTATTAGATTATTCCACCTTTATTACTTTATAAGTAACTCAAGGCGGGAACTATACTTAATATTCCTTCCTCCTCTTATTTTTCCCACAACAATCCTATGACATGGGTTGAGTTGAGAGAGATGGACTGTCTCAAGTCACCAGCTGCCTTTATGCCTAAAGTGGAACTAGAATTCAGACTTTTCTGACTTGCCTCTATCCATGATTGAAAAATTAGGATTATCCTCTTGTATTTTTTTCTACAGTACTTAAGATTCCTTTTCTGGTTGGTAGAAGATGGTATCTAATAACACATTAGAATTTGAATCCCAGAATGAAGCAGTTGAAACACATTTATCTCCTTTGTGTCCAGTTCTCTAATGAGGCCTACCTCATCCTGGGCAACCTGCAAACCAATACAATTGCTGAAACATTATAAACAATGTGTAAATTGTTCCGTAGCCAACAAATAATACATATGATAGTTGTCATTAGTTGCAATTAGCTTTAGGAGATGTAGCATGGAAGTTCTAAGGAGGACAAATCATTAATTCTGGACCCTTCATGTCTTCAAAATACTACCTATTCTGGACTTCCGGTTTGAGCTTCTTCAGCAACAGACCGAAACCTCGTCTCTGCGAGGCTTCGATCCGTACTCGCCGCTGGAGCATCCTGAGCTGGCTGGTTTCGGGGCTAAGCCACCCTATAGAGGTGGTGAAAAGGGGGAAGACTGCCAGCAGGGTTGAGGAGAGCTGCATCTCTCCTCCCCAGCTGGCCATTACTCCTTTTCCTGAAGGCGGTTGCAGCGGTGGTCAGAAATGGCCATCACAAAGAAGAACTCAACTGGCAAAGAATATGCAGGAGGAAGATAAGAAGAGAAAGTTTTGGTTGACCGGGTCAAACAGCAAAAGCAACAAATAAGGTATCCTGGAATTGAAACTGTTAAAAAACAATAACATTGTTCCCTAAGAAGATTTTTAAGCTGCAAAGGAGAGAGAAAAGGGAAAAGATTTGGTTTTCTCCTTTTCCTATACTGACAGCTAAGAGACTTAAGCAAGAAATTGGAAAAAAAACCACTTTGACATCAATAGGCATTTAATGCTGAAAATAAAAAGTCAAAGGGTTAATAAAGATTTCTGGATAATTAAAGCTTTTGCAAACAGGAAAGGAGAGAGGAAGAATAAAAGGGCAGGATCTGGAAGGGAGGAGACTGCCCGGAATTAAAAAAGAACTTACAGCAAAATCTCAACAAGACTTCCAAAAGATACATTCTAACTGAAATATCGCAACAAAAACCCCTAAAAAAGAAATAAGAAGATATAACTCAGGACTACCTGGATTAATTGATGATTTCTGGATTCTTGGTTATTGTTTTGAATGACTAAAATCAATCGGGTGGTTGTTTAAAACTTTTTAAAATGGCTCCACTTTTAGAAGAACTGAAAATGGAACTTAAAAAGTACAAAGAAGATGCACAAGAAGGGATAAGTTCTTTTGGCTTCGTATTTCAGTTTTTAGAAATGGAGATTTGGAATTATGAGAAACAATAAGAAATGCCTGCAGAACAAGAAGATTGTGACAAAGAAGAAGCCATCTTTAATGAACAAGTAATCTTAGATGGGGGGGGAAGGAAAGGGGAGAAAGAGAATGGAAAGTTTAAGATTAGGAAAAACAACTCAAAAAAAATAGAGTGAAAATAAGTATAAAATCAGAAAGCAACAGAAGAGGGAAATGCAGGAGAGAATTAGAACTAGTGAGACAAGGGGGTAAAAAGGGGAGGGAGAAAATGAGAGGGAAGAAAGAAAGGAAAAGAAGTTATAAAGGACAGAAGCAAACTATAGAGAAACAGGGTCTATTTAGAGATAATGGGTGAAAACTTAATGGAAAAAGGGATTCTGCAAAAGTACATAAGATAGTATGGTTATATTAAAAGCAGAAATAATTTTAGAAAATATGAAACAATGTATGATTAAAATGTCTGATAAAATAGCTATCGTAATTCAGTGGAATGCTTGTCAATAAATAAATGTAACAAAAGGTATATTTAATGATTTATAAAACATATGTGAAGAGAAATAAGGGAAAAATTAATTGTGGAGATTATATGTGTTTTTAAGGAAGTATGATATTTAATTGAAAAGAAGTGTTAAAGATGTTAAGATTTTAATGATTATTAATGATAGAACTGAACTGGAATGGAATGAGAGTTTATAATTACATATATTTACAATCTTTCTTTTTTTTTAAAGAATATAGTGTGTATTATAAGAATGTGCCAAGCAGAATTCAATTGGAAGTTATGTATTATGTATTATATTGAAGGTCATAAACTTAAGGTATATATTGAAGTTTAAATAAGAGTTGAATGGATGTAATTAAAAGATATAAAGGTGTCATATTCCAATTAGTAACTACAGGAGAAAATTTGTTTAATGAGAAAAGATAATATGAAATTGAAACAGAACAGACAAAAGTATAATGATTTGAATTGAGATGAGATAATCAAAATAAAATTGAGAAAATTAAAAGAGGGGAAAAACTATATAGAAAATGTAAAATAGTATAAGATATGGAATAGAATACAAAAAGGAGTATGAAATTGAGTTTTGTGTCTGTATAAAGAAGTTCAACCCAGGACCATGCTATTTTCAAAAAAGATGTTTTACTTGTATTTTGTGTGTGAAAACCCAAACAAAACTTTATTAAAAAAAATACTACCTATTCTCCCTAGCACTCAGCCTAAATCCAAGAAACAAAGTGTAAGTTATAGATGTCAAAGAACTTATAAGCAAGGAAGTTCAACTTGCTGGGTTCTCTACACTTCAACAGCTCTGAGAAGTACTCCTCTAGGAATCTATGGAGATTCTCAATCATCCAGGTCATAGTTATCCCAAAAGTGCTTTTTCTTAGCAGAGAATGTATGTTAGGGACACCTCTTTGGACTGGTATACTTATAACAAGTATTCTCTCCAATCAACCTTGATGACAAAAATCTGAGGAACATGTTTTCTGGTTTCCTGGCTAAAAGACCCAGTAAAACGTTGAGTTCCCTACATTCAGATCTGAATAGATTGTTGAATGGACGAGTCTCAGGGCTGCTGACCAAGCATGCTATCTAGCTGCGTTCACAAATTGAGCTTTTAATTCTAGCACTCTCCCAGACGATGCTTTGCTCTGCTCCTTAAAGATAAAAATCCCCTAGAAACCGAATACTCGATTTTCCTGTTACAACTCCACAATTTAGTATGAAATCCTTACCCCATGATGACCAATGAAGACGAGCCGTGAGCGTTGCTTAGCTGATCAATTCTTAAAAGGATTTTTCCTCGTTTCCTACGCTGCGAGCGCACCCCGGCCAGTTACAGTGTTAATCCTGACAGGTCTCTCCAGCCAATTTTCTGCCTTTCCAGGTGATCTTACGTGCCTCCTTCGGCCGAATTTTAAACACAGAAGTCTACAGGCATTTGGGAATGTAGAAGGGGTTTTTTTTTGGTGGGGGAGGGAAATCGCAACCCTTTCGAGGGGGAGGAGAATCGGCTTAGGGCATCAACATGAAGAGACCCTCCCCAGAGCCTCCCAGAGCCCGTCTTCTTCAGCGAGCCCCCTGCACGAAGGGGTCCAGGGAGAGCTCCAGCTCCCTGGCAGGAGGAGGCGGATAAGGAGGAGGTAGTAGCAGAGGCAGCGGCAGCACCAAGCCAATCCTCCTTCTGCGGGGAGAAGGGGAGGCACTCGACCGCCTCTAGCAGGAGGATTAAAAAAAAAAAAATCCACAGCAGCGCGGATGCCTAAGCAGTTTATTGAAATGCCCGAAAACCACGAGCGCCCGGATCGCGGTCCGCCTCAGGTGGAGAGCAGGCTCGTGGGGCTTGCGGTGTGCGCAGCGCTCCGCGCCGCCCTTCCTTCTAACACCCCCGTCGATAGCAGCGGCGGCGGCAGCAGCGAGAGCATGGGGGGTGTCGCTTCATTTTCCCAAGCAGTAGCAGCATCCGGCAGAAGCCCCCTTGCCGGTGCTGACATCGGGCTCCGGTAGACCGGCCACGGAGGCAGGGCACGGGCCACGCATCCCCTTTAAGGGCGGGCGGATGCTGGCAGAAGATGAAACGGGAAGGCAGTGGATGCAACGCGGGAGGCGGCCAAAGAGCCGCGGTCCTTCCCACGGCAAGGCAAGGCAAGGCAAGGCAAAGCAGGGCAGGTCCCCTTCAATCCCGCCCGCTTCTGCAGCGGGGCAGCCTCTTCCTCCGTCTCGTGTCCGGCAGATCAATCATGCTCAGCAGCAGCCGAGCAGGAGGAGTGGCAGCGGCGGCGTTGGCGCCGACAGCAGCAGCAGCAGCGCCCCTCTAGCCCCTCGCTGCAGCAGCGGGGCCAAAGCGCGGGCTGCAGCGGCAGGAGGAGGAGGAGGAGGAGGGGAGGGGGAGCGGTAGCCTCTCCAGCACCTCCGACGCGGAGCCGAGGCGCGCCAGGCGGCTCAGGTTTTCTCCTGCTCCTCCTCACACCTCCTTCCCGTGCCCGCGCACACGCCACCGCGCTCGGCACTCGCTCCCTTGGCGGGTTCCCTGCGCAGGGCACTGAAGAGAGCGCGCCCTAACTCCCCCACCACGCTCGGGGCCTGAGAGGGCAGGTGGAGCTGAAGGCGGAGCGGAAAGCGCCCGCTCTCGCTTGGCTTCACTCCGACCTTCCCACCGGCCCCCGCAGCCACCAAAAATGGGGAGAAACGGGAGAGGGAAAGGAGGGAGAATAGAGCGGACGACCTCCGCTTATTGCCCCACTCAGGCCCAGCACTCCCGGCGAGGGTGCGCGGCGCAGTCTCTTTCTCTCTGCTACTCCGCAGCCACGGACCCGCACGCGGTAGCAGCACTTGCTGATTCTGCCTCCATCCTCTACTTGGGGACCTTTAAATAGGGTACGTCACCACGTTCCCCTACGCACTGTCGTCACACACTGCTCCCGGGGCTGACGTCATTAGGGTGCGGGTGGGAGGTGATGTCAGAATGCTATATGCCGCCGGAAGCGCTTCTATAACAAGGAATAGAAAAGAAAAATGCGGGAACGAAAATAGAGGGGTTTGGTCCGTGTTGCTACAACACACCTCCAGGATTTGGATAAGATCCTGCTATTCGTCCGTCCGCCACTTCCGTTACTCTCCTTTAAAAATGGGTGTGCTGAGAACGATGAGATTTATTTTGTTTTTTATGTAAAGTTCCAAAATAAAAATGTGCCAAAAAAAAGAAGCTATTGGTAAAAGTAAGCTAAACTCAAGCTCTATCTATTTTAGGTGCTTACTGGTGTTCCTACTGTGGAACCCACTATTGAAATCTTAACAGTTTTATGCCACTTTGCAAATTGGAAAGAAAATTAACTCGTGTATATTTAAAAAGAGAAAGTTTAAGTCATTCAGTGAGAATAATTGAAGAATAAGGAGATTCAGAGTGGAGGAGAAAATGTGAAATCACAAAGATGAGTAATTTAGGAATGATATTATCAGTGATTTGATATTTGTCATAAATATTTAAAGTAAAAATATCAATCCATTTAAGCCTTTATATTTGCTATGATTTTTCCAATAAAACATGCAGGTATGAATTTCTAGGAATCATACATATATTTTCTCATTTTGAAATTTGTTTTTGTGTTGGAGCACCATACTTATCTCTCAATTCTAAAGGATTTGGCTTTAGTTCTTTAATTCTTCTGTACTCGAATTTCCTCAATTCATAGGCTGAGTAGAAATACAAACTGTAGTGGTTCAACACTCAGAACTAAACAAACCACATTACAGCTCACTGCAATGTGTGAATCCAGTCTATGGAAGCCAGTGATTTGAGCTCTCAGATTCAAATCTCTGTTTCAAAAACTAATAGCAGAAGCCCCAGCCCATCATACAAGCATCCTTTCAAGAAAGGTGGGATGATAGAGCTTAACTAACATCTTGGTTAGGATAAACTGCTGTTGTGCTCTTGAACTCTTCAAGAAGTCCTTCCGAGAAAATCCATTGCCTGATTGCTTTCAGGATGGGTACCTGGAGTATTCTTTTGCAATTACATTGTATAGCTTAGATAGGTTCTACATGAAGAAGACAGTCCCAAAGATAACAAGAATCCAAGCTATAAAGAACATTATAGGTGATCACCAGCACCAAAACTTCTTGGTGACAATTGTAGAAAGCCAGAGAGATGGCTATGAGGCAAATATTCAGAACCTATCATGAACAGTATTTTATGGTTTTAAAAAAGGATAGAAGCATTCAAATCAAATCAATCTTTATTTGTTTCTAGACCAGCAAACAAAACAATTACAATTAATTATGATAAAGGTAAAATATATTCTAAAATATCTAAAAAGGATTAGAATTAATACAACAGGCTACTGTGTGGACTATAGAACAATACTAGACTGTGGTCAGAAGTATTCTTTAAGTCCTGGAAAAGGAGATAGCATTAAGAAGAGACTCAGACTGATTCCTCTCTGATTCATTGTGGAATAAGAGAGATGGGAAGAAAAGCACAAGCAAAATTTGCAAGATTGTGTTACTATAGTCTTTCTCAATTAATAAAGTCTTCCTACAGAGTTAGCTTCCTGTTCTAGTCAACCTCATAGGTCTGATACCAATGTGATTCCTGCAGAACAGATGTTATTTTTGTAAACCCATTAAGGCCCGTCAGCAAGTAGGCGGTTGTGATTTGCGCCAGCTGTACATTCTGAGTACTATAACAGGAATAGTTATAGAACTTTTCTACCAAGAAAATGTTTGACTAATTCAACCTTTTGCCGTTCCTCTTTTGCACATTGCAATAAGTCCAACTGTAGTATGATTGATTTCGGCTTCAGCATGTACAGTTTAATGCAATATGAGAAAACAGTTACTCCAGAAGTAACTCAGAAATGACCAGACATCTATAGAAGAACTTGTCCACATGAATACTTTGATTCAATTCCCTACTGATCAATTCTTAAGTGCAGGGGTACTTAGCATTGTCCTGTATCCATCATAGCCCACTTTGGAAGACATCATCATCCACCAAATGTTGTGTTTTCTAGCTTGAGGCAGCTCAAATGATGCTGCACTACATTTTATGGTAGCTAAAACGATTGTATTTTGCCTGGCTACTATGTAGTGTGGCAAGAGGTTTGCGATCCTCTGCCCTCCATAGCAATTTTTTTTTGTACAACTTCACTTATAAAATAATAAAAAACTGAGGGTGTTTTTTTAAATAAGTTGGATGAAATTGGCAACAGTTTTGGCCTTTTCTCCTATCCAGGTGACAGGAAGATAAATCAGGAATGTTTCTTTTCTTTTCTTGATTTACTGATCCAGGAATAGATAGATACCTGTGCATTGGTATCTATTCCAGGATTTATCCCAGGAGGGTTAAAGAAGGTGAATTTACCAACCAGGAGCTGTGGTAAAAATGCAGTCCTGGTAGAACATCAGGCTATCACTGGGGACAAAGCAAAGGAAGGGCTTGAAATTTGGGGAGAGTCGGCTTCCTTTCCAGCAGATTTACATGCAAGAGTCAGCAGCTTGAGGTTGCATTGTGGAAAAAGCCTTATTTAAAATATGTATTACTGCACATTTAAGATTGTTTCTTCTCTGCCATATTTTTCATTCTTACAAAGAATTACCTGCAGGGAAGAAGAACAGATTGTATCAGGCTACTGAGAAATGAGTTTGAATTTCCGGTCTTTAACCAGAAGAGAGTCAGTTTGGTGTAGTGTTAACGCATCCAGCTAGAAATTATGAGATTTTGAGTTCTAGTCTTCCCTACTCGGTGATCTTGAGATTGTGACTTTCTGGGAGCTTTTGGAAGGGTACAAGGGCAACATACTGCAGGGACTAGTACAGGCACTTGACAAGTGTCAACACTGACTTGAAAGCATGAACAACAATAGGAAAAATCCTGGAATTTGCCATTTCCAGATACATGACCTTCCTTGCATAATCTTCTTTGTCTTTGAGCATCTGATAAAGAAGCCAGAATAAACTATTTTGCAAAATCGCAAGTGCCTTCCTTTGACAGCTATGCCATTTATACTTTATTAGAATTTAGACTGTAAATGTAGTTAAGTTAATTTTATATTTCATATTATTTTAAAATCTTGATCATTCTAACCTTCCTCCTCTTTCCTCTTTCCTCTTTCCTACACATTCTCAGTTGGAGCTGGTATCTATTTCTATTTTCTTACCTACTTTTGAGAATGGCCAACACACCTATTTATATTTTGTACTGTGATTGTATTTTGCTTACCAGACCTTCTGGGAAAGTTAACCTGTTGAACATGTGCAAGTCTTAAACTTGGAATCCTGTGCATCCATTTTAACAATTATGATCCATCCCTCAGGGAATGGCAATTCTACTCCGAAACAATGGCAGATGATACTGAGGCAATTCTGAAATTATTTAAATTCCAAATAAATGACATAAAACTATTGCCCTGTGGGTTATTATCAAGATCCACTCATTAACTTGCATGGAGCCAACTGCTCTTTGTGTTCCAAAAATAACTTTTGTAATCAGTTGTTCTCTCTGATTCTAACAGATGAATTAAAAGGCTTTCTTTGTCTACTACCTTTTCTCCCCTT